CATTTTTGTAGTGCAGATAGACCAAGCCTCCCGGTTGCATCTCTTTTTTGTTGAAAGTATGGAACGTTCTCCGAAAGGCGATGGACAATACGCATGAATAAGTCCTTGTTCATACGGAAACGGCGTCTGAATAAATGTGCCGGAAATACCGGATCTTCGCTGAAGTAGTCATTCCATAAACGGACATGTCCCGTTTCACGGTCTCGCTCTATATAAGCACGTTTCTCTGGTATAACGGTTTGGGCCTCCGCTATGTCGTTGTATGTTTCTTCGAAGATATCATCGATAATTTCATCCAATCTTGCATCTATTTCTTCGGATGAAGATGATGACATGTTTGTAATTCCTCCTTAAAAAATTATTTAAGTTATTGAACATAATTAGCAAATTAAAAATAATTAACATTCCTAATTAAAATTAATTAGTAAGTAAAATCAGCAATAATCATTTTTTCCTTAATTTCATTTATCCTTAAATGTGAAAAAAAAAATAATTTTTTTGTATATTAGCCATATTAAGTGATGGACATGTTCAAATTCAATGTTTTGATTAAGGTCAATATTTTACTTTCTTGTAGTCATGAACTAGTAATATGAATAATTTTTAAAACTAATTTCCTGTCTGATGTTAAAATACTACACTAAACAAGTTCGAATACATGATGTTAAAATACTACACTTAAAACTAATTTCCTGTATGTTGATGTACTTTAGTGTTTATTGGTAAAGTTTAAGCTCAACATTCTTGTATTTACCATCCATGATGTTCAAATACTACACGTTAACAACATATGGGCAGTTAAAATACTACACTAAACAAGTTTCAATCAACAACATATTAAGTCAAAGAAAAGAGCCAGAATTTGTTACCTAAAACACAAGTGATACAAAAGGAGATGGAAGAGAACAAGAAGTTCAGACAGAGTTTGAGCTAGCAGAATACAACCTCCACAAGTGATACTAGAGAACCCAAAATACAACCTCGCCGATAGAATAATAGAGAACCTAAGTTTTTCATAAGGTAGAACACTAAAGAACCCATCACTACTACTTTATACTACATAAACTTAACCAGTAGAGCCCGTGACTTCTCCACTTGCAGCTAAAGACCAAAAGATCAAATCCACCCGTGACTTCCTTCACATGCCTACTGCTCCACGCCTGTTACAACTCAGCAAAAATAAGACAATAGTTAGTTTACAAGTATTAAAGAAACAAACATAAACTGAAAGATGTAACTAGAAGCAACTATAAACTACAAGCAAACATATTTAAACTAGAAGCAAGCATAAACTACAAGCAAGCATAAACTAGACATGAGACGTAAGCTAGAAGCAAACATAAACTCAATTTACCTAAACTCATATCATCTGAGACATGAGCTTTATTTTAAGAGCTGTTTCGAGCTCACTAAGTGGCTCTTTTTGGGCGAGTAGACAGTCAAGCAGCTTCTTGTTTTGGATCTTCTCTTTCATTTCGAAGATGATTTGTAACTGAGAGAGTGACTCTTCTCGAGCACTCTTCTTCTTCTTCGTGGCAGCTTTAGCAGCCTTGACACCCATAGGACGACCATCTGTTTGTCCCACTTCTTCTTCCTCTGCTCTATCAACTTCCACCCCTTTGCGCTTTTCCTTAGAGAGATAGGTGGAGGCCCATTTCTGGTCGTGCCTCAAATCCCTCCAGGCGTGTTCCATACTAAACTTGACCTTGTACTGATTGTTGAAGTTGTCTAGGGCTTTACTCATCACGTCATCATCACTTTGACCACTCCTCTCATCCCTCAGAGCCGCGTCATAGCAACCAACGAATTTGCAGACTTGCTCGTTGATCCTAGCCCACCTCTGCTTGCACTGACCAAGCTCTCTCGGTGTTTCTCCCACGAATTGAGGGCTTGCGTTGAAGAAGTCAACTATTCTCTTCCAAAACGCTACACCTTTCTGCTCATTGCCCACAACCGCATCTTTGCTGGTGTTAAGCCACGCAGAAATGAGGATTCTATCCTCCCTCGGGCACCACTTCCTCCTCGAGAGAGCACAAGAGTCGACACTTGGAGACGGATCCGGACCTTGGCTACCGAACCAAAAGGGTTCGGGTGAATCAAGGTCCACTGATGCTTGGGTTTGGCTAAACAGAAGGTTAACATAGCTAGAGTTGTTATCCATGTTTAGAGACTCGGTTGTGTCACTATATTAGCAACACAACGACTTAAGTAGGCAACCTTAAAGGCAATAAAGACGAAGCAGATAGGAAGATAGAAAGCTCAATGGTTGCATTAAACAGCAATCAAATCACACATACATCCTAATTTAAAGCTGTTAAAACATTAAAAACAACTACATCTTAGGCGGTAGGAAGCAACCACTCTTCTAAAGAGAAGTTACATCTAAACGTGAACTAGTTTCTATAACGTTACATCATATAAAACTAAAGTTACATCTAAACTAAAGTTACAACTAAAGTAACTAGTTTCTATAACGGTAACTAGTTCCATATAAATAAGTAAAGAGAAGTAAGTTACATCTAAAGAGTAGTAACTAGTTACCATTTACGGTAACTACTTGCATCTTAACTAATGACTACTTCTTATATTAAAGTATATTTTTTTATTTAATTTTAGTTCTTATATTAAAGTAAATCTTTTTATTTAATTTTAGTTCTTATGTTAAAGTATATCATTTTATTTATTTTTAGTTCTTATATAAAGTTTCATATATTAAGGTAGATCATAGTTGTAATGTTGAACCTTATTAAACGAAGTTGTAGTGTTGTACCTAATTATGCCGACATGTGGTTTAGACCATTGAAGCTCTTCCTGCAAAAAACAAGAGATCGAAGAGTCAATAGTGTTACTTAAATTGCATGAAGACCAACCAAAACAAAAGAGATGTACTTACCAGTCACACACATAACCGCCAAACCTATAGCAGCTAATACGGAGACGACTACACAAACGGTCTTTAGCTCTCGAACGGTCTTCCTAAGCTCACACACGGTCTTCTTAAGCTCCCACACGGTCTTCTGTACCTTGACCACCTTCTCATCACATTGAAAACCTTGATCCTTAAGGTGTCTAACTTGTCTCTGCACCTCACTCATCTCCTCTGAGACAGCCACGTCCCACCACTTCCAAATGTGGCACTCCCCGTCGTCCACATTGTCGCACGTGTAGTACAACCTCCCTGGATGTTTGCTCGTGTAGGATATACCAACAGCAGGCTCACCACCACAGTAGCAACTGGTAGGGATTCCAGCATCAGCCTCAACTTGAGATGTGTACTGACCCGGCTCTGCAAAGTTGCTACTCGAAGCTTCATCCGCGTAGAGTTGAGCTTCTGCTTCAAGAAGTGACGNTGTACGAATAGTCTTGTCCCATGTTGAGTAAACCTGAAAGAAATCATGTAATAACAATAGTTAGTGCTCTCAATCTATAACCAACAATCAAACTGTGTGTTAAAGAAATCCTAAGGAAACCAGAGACAACAACACACACAGACACGAAGCAATACCGAAACAACTAAACACAGACAATCACGGATCACGGATCAATACCGAAACCAGAGAGCAATACCGAAAAACTACAGACACGAAGCAATACCGAAACACAGACAATCATGGATCAATACAGAAACAGAGGGATTTTAAAACGGAAATCGATTTCAAACCTAAATCGTTGTCAAACCCTAAATCCCAAAAGTTCGATTGAAATCCTAAATCCCAAAAGTTCGATTACAAAGCATAGGAGAATATCCAGAAATTGATGGAAACCTAAATCGTTTTCAAACCCTAAATCACAAAAGTTCGATTGAAATCCCAAATCCTTCGAAACCCTAATTTGAAAAATACAAATCAATCGAAAACGAGAAAACCGAACCCTAAATTGAAAGGAAAACAACAAAAGACCTAATCTAAACACATAAATCAGCAACATGAACCTTCGATCTACCTTTCTCGAACGAGTTCTCCGAAATCGCCTTTTCTCCAGAGCCAATTTTTTTTTCTCCGCTTCGATCGAAATGACTTTTTTTCGCGACAAAACCCAAACCCTATCAAAAACCGACCAACCACAACGTGACACGTGGCTAAGAATCAACGAAAATAAATCCTTATTTACGTATTGATCCTTAGCCATTTGGGGTTAAATAATATAAAAAAAATGACTAATTCGATGGACCGGTGGTTAAGGATCCCCACGTTCCCACCGATGCACATGGTCTAATATACATAAGCAATTACGCTTTATAATTTTTGAATCTGATCCAAGTTAGAACGAAATTCGTATTAGATCACATCCTTTTCTATATTGTGGAACATGAAACATGTATGAGGATGGCTTATTAAAAGTGGAAATCCGAACTTATTTAGTTTTGTATTATCATCGGATAAAATAGAAAATCTCTTCTCACTGAATTCACATGTTCAGCAACTATTGAGTTCAGTTATATAGCAAGTGGTTATAAACTTCAATATTAATATTCGTTTAGAATAAGAAATCCCCAAATAATTTCAAAAAATGAATAATTAACATGGGCAACCACTATGACTATATAAGAAATAAAAATACTTAATTATATAATACACGATTAGAGAGTTTTCTTAACCCTCTTGAAATCTCTATATAACCCTACATTGGAACACATAAAGAGTCACACCAATCAACAAAGTAGAAAAAGATAAGAGAGAAATAGATGGCCACTGTGAAGATGCCCTTCTGCTTTTTGGCCTTACTTTGTCTGTTATTACAGTTATTTTCCATCTTCCATATAGGTAATTGATATTCCCTCTTCTCTAATCACATTAAGCCACGTGTATCACTATCTCGAGAATATATTTCTAATTTTTGCTTGCTGAAACCAAAATAGCAATAATTTTCTTTTAGTAAACTAATTTCCACCGTAAAAATTCAACAAATTTTAATTACAAATTCGCTAGTAATCCCTCATGTAAATAAAACGAATAATCTAAAGATTCATTAAATAAATTGTAGGAAGTGCGGAACTGGAGATGAATTATTACAGAGAGAGTTGTCCGAGAGCGGAAGAGATAATCAGACAACAAGTGGAGACACTTTACTACAAACACGGCAACACAGCCGTGTCTTGGCTCCGTAATCTATTCCATGACTGCATCGTCAAAGTAATTACAGTTTAACTCTTTTATCTATATTCACATGGCGTCACCACTATCATGATCAATACTTATGTTCATGTGTTTTTTTTTGTAGTCGTGTGATGCGTCACTGCTACTAGAGACAGCAAGAGGTGTTGAATCTGAACAAAAGTCAACGAGGAGTTTTGGTATGAGAAACTTCAAGTACGTCAAGACTATCAAAGACGCACTCGAGAAAGAATGTCCTGGCACAGTCTCTTGCGCTGATATTGTTGCTCTCTCTGCAAGAGATGGTATTGTCATGGTAAGTATATATGCATTTTAATGTTAATTTGATTACTTTGAGATTGTTGTTGTAATTGTGGTGTTTTTTTGGCGAAATGAATAGTTGAAAGGGCCAAAGATAGATATGATAAAGACAGGAAGGAGAGACAGTAGAGGAAGCTACTTGAGAGATGTTGAAGCTCTAGTTCCTAACCACAATGACTCTCTCTCATCTGTTCTCTCAAATTTTAACTCCATTGGCATAGATGTTGAAGCCACCGTTGCTCTCTTAGGTATTCTCTTCGTTTCATTTTAGTTATTGTTTTAGATTCGTGTACATAAATTAAGAAAATATTTAATTTTACATAGTTTCAAAATAAAAATACAATTACCTATATACCTAACTAGATTTAAACCAATAAAAAATAGAAAAATATATAAAATTAATAAATTTTGCATTGAAATTATAAAACACACTTATTTTGAAACGAAAACTTTTCTCTACAACGACATATAAAGAGAAAATTTCATAAAAATATCTTAACTAAAATTTTATTAAGTTTTTTAATATTTAACTATTTTTTTGCTATTCGAGTTAATATTTCACTTAATTATTTTGTTCATTTTAATATCCTAACTGCTAAAACTGTGTTCACTTCAATTGTTCATTTTAATCAAATTAATTAACAAGATTTAATAAAATTCCCAAAACATCTGATTTTATTTGAAGTTTTAGAAATAAAAGAAACTAAACTGTACATACTCTTTCTTTTTGGTTTTTAACTTGTATATAATCTTAAGATAAATAAATGCTATTGTTATTGATCAGTCAATTTATATATATTACCGTAGGTGCTCACTCAGTGGGTAGAGTCCACTGCGTTAACCTAGTGCACCGGCTATACCCAACGAATGACCCGACTCTAGACCCAAAGTACGCTCTTTACTTGAAAAAGCGTTGCCCTTCTCCAAATCCGAACCCGAAGGAGGTCTTATACTCCCGCAACGACCCTGAGACTCCAATGGTTGTGGACAACATGTATTACAAGAACATCATGGCTCATAAAGGGCTCCTTGTCATCGATAATGAGCTAGCCACCGATCCTAGGACCGCACCTTTTGTGGCGAAGATGGCTGCGGACAACGGTTACTTCAATGAGCAATTCTCACGTGCTATCAGGCTCTTGTCCGAGAACAATCCTCTCACCGGTGACCAAGGGGAGATCAGGAAGGATTGTCGTTATGTGAACTAACTGATTATACTTTTAAATATAATACCCATATATATCATGTCTGAATGTAATCATGTATGTATGTGTGTTAATGATTTGGAGTTAATAAGAAGAAATACCAAAACTTTGATGGACTACGATATGTTTTTGGTACATTATGGAGTGAACTCGAAACAACTAGTCAATCAAATTTATTCGATGGGACTTTTATATGCTTTGCCACATTATTGGTATATTCGACAGTGATTTTAGTATACTGATAGTACCAAACGTAACGCACAACGATTAGATTTAAAGTCATCTAAAGCTATAAAGTTATACCATACATATATATATATACAAACTCCTTAAAAATTCAACGTCGAAAATGTGAAGAAATATCTGGTAATATATAAGACATAAGTTAGTTGAGTTTAAAAAATTTAGAACTTAACATGATATCGATCGAAGTAAAATATGTTGACGACTATATGCAATAAGATCCGGATTAGAAAGTATATAGATTACTATAAATAGTCGTCTATAATAAAAATGTTAGAAATCTGATCATATCATAAATATATGATGAGATCTTGAGTAATTATATAGAAGACATAATCAATTCACTGGTTGCATAAATAGTTATGAGACCATTCTATAAATTGAACAGAATTTTAGCTTTTTCGTCTAGAGTGTCAAGTTTGTGCTAAAACAGGAATACTAGTTAAGTAGCTAATTGCAACTTGGGAAAATTAACTAGCTTGTTGACTCCACAAGCCAAATCATGATGTGTTTATTTAGTTGTCAGATGCCAGACGAGTTGGGTACTTCTCCATGTGTATCATTTGACTCTCCCACAATCATTTGCATTTTTATACGAGCTTTTGTTAATTCGACCAGCGAATAATTTGACCAGTCTTGTTTGATGAATTGATATACGTAGTTAATCATTTTGTATAAGCAAATATCAAATTTACAAACGTTAGTACTAAGGTATAGATCTTGACCTTTTAAGTTTTATCACGAAATGTACAAAACTTTTGTGTATAAGAATTTTTGTGAAAGTCATATTACATGCAACGAAACTCAAGGAGTCAAATTAACCACAATAATTACAATGGATCTAATGCAACAATTTAAGCTCTTGCAAAGTTTCGATATAAAAAAAGTCTTAAAAAATTTGACCAAAAAAGTCTTAAAAATTAAATGCAGTTACGCTTGTGTTTGTAAACGAGCCTAAGTGGTCTGAGTAGGGCCCGGAGAGTTAATTATAAACGGGCCTAATCCTAAATTAACATTCCTACAAGAGAGATCAAGATAAAATAAACATTCCCATTTACAAGCAAAATAATTTACACACGCCCGGTTTGGCAGGTAATCTAACTAATGGAAGGTATCTAATTAATGTTATCACACAAAATAACAGTTACTTCTCTAATGACTTTAATATCATCAAATTACCTGCCAAAGTGGGCCATACCTTTTGTCTTAATCTCTCCGGTTCGTAAACGAATCTCTTCAAAACTCTTTGCCGCATCTGATCTCATCTCGCAGAGTTTATATCAAAGCTATGAGCAGTGAAGGTTCTGCCGGAGAGGTACGTCTCCCTATTTGGGATTTTACCATCACACTCGTCTCTTCTTCCTTGATTCACAAATGGTTATTAAGTCCAAGATCATAGCTATTAGACTTGGAGATTAGTTTAAACCTGATTAATTAAAACAATACATTTTTTAATTACTTTTAAAATGATGATTTCTATGCTCTGATATATCTGTGTAAATATGCTTTCCACAGGCAGCTACAGAGGCTCAAGGCTTGAACCCGGGGTTGGTAGTTTTGCTTGTTGTTGGAGGTTTGCTTGTGACGTTCCTTGTCGCTAATTACGCTATGTACATGTATGCTCAGAAGACTCTACCACCAAAGAAGAAGAAGCCCATCTCCAAAAAGAAGCTCAAGCGTGAGAAGCTGAAGCAAGGAGTCCCTGTCCCCGGTGAATAGTACTAACCACCCTTCTTTTGCTTTGGTTATTAGAGTTATAAGTTTTGAAATTTTATTGAATATTTTTACAAGACCATATCAAAAACCAAGTGCGTAACAATAAAGATATACATATGTTTGCATTCGTTTGAAGAAAGAAAACAAAAGAACACGTGACAAAAGCAAAAGCAACAGACAAGATTATAGTAGTTCACCGTGAGTGTACAAATGTAACAAGTTTTATTTAGGACAACACATGACTCAACGGAAGCTTTTCACTTACGTCCCATGGTTTGTTCACTGGGTGGAAGCACAACCACAGTGGACTGAGCATTGAAACCAGGGTGAAGAACGTTCCTGCGGATCTCACGTCCTTCTTGGCAAAGAGCGCATGTATGACAAAGAACATGTGTCACAAAGTCACAAGTCGTCTCCATATGTTCCCTTTGCATCTCGTCTTCTATGCAGCTACCGCAGCAACCACATGACCTGTTCATCGCCTCAAAGCTTCCCTGTTTATTACCCCAAAAGAAAAAACAAAGATGGGTTAAAACAGATTTTTTCAGTTTTTTTTTTTTTTTGGGATTAAATATGAGATAATTCGATGATCATATTATTACCTCAAGGTTAAACCTTCGGCGAATGGCAGAGCGGGATGAATAAGAGAACCAAGGAGCAAGGCAGTTCCAGCCAAACAAAGAGTTGCCAACAAAGTACAATCCCAAATAGGTCAAGCAGTGATTAGAAAAGGTTGCAGGAGCAGACCCAAGCCTCTCTGCATTACTTCCATACAATACACATGGAGCCACACTTCCAAGTAGACCTTAACAAAAGAAAGAAAGAAAGCCATTATTAAGATGTAAAAGATTTAAGAAACCCATTTAAGAAAAAAACCCAAATTTTTCAGACAGCAATTTTTCAGACAGAACATAAGAAGTACAAATTTCGAGATCGCTGCAACAGAACTGATGAATAAGATGTAAAGATTGAGTCTTTAACCAACCTCAGCAACCATGGAAACACATCAAAATCAGAACTTTCTAATTCGATATCGACCAAATCAAGAAACCCATTACGAAAAAACAAAACTAAAATTCAGACAACAATCATGGCGACAGAACATAAGACTCACAAACTTCTCGAACTCATCGTTTCATCAAACCAAATGTAAAGATTGAGTCTTTCACCAACCTCACCAACTATTAAACACATCAAAATCAAAACTTTCCAATTCAATCTCGACCAAATCAACAAACCAATTAAGAAAGAAAAATCCCCAAATTTCAGACATTAAAACATTCAGACAGAAACAAAAAAGACTCACAAACTTCGAGATCGCTGCTGCAGAACTCATCGTTTCGGCCGAGACAGGAAAAAAGACCGGAACTCCACTGGTTTCTCCCGATCGGCTCTCCCATCACGCTCCCTTGACTCACCGGTAATCCATCCGCCGTCCATCCGTATTCCTCCGCCGCCGGCGCCGCCTTCTTAGTGTCTCCTTTGGAGCAGATCTTGCTTTCTTTCACTTGCAAGAGAGGACTCGATTCCTCATGGTCCTCGCATCGTTGATGAGCTTCACGGCTCTCTTCTCCGGCCATCTTTTATGTTCTCTTAGATCTCTTCTCAACAAACAAACAAACAAAACGTTCTCTCTCTTCTTTGATCTTAGAAAGAGAGGAAGATGAGACTTAAAATAGAATTAATAATCATTGTTTTTAATTGGGCCGCGTTCCGTACGCGTTAAGGCATTGAATTAAAAAATAATAATACACAAATACACCTTCGTAAGTATTTTCTTGGAAATGAACTTCATATTAATGTTACAAAAAAAAAAAAAAAAACTTCATATTAATAAATATTTTAAGCTCACTTAGGGCTGTGTTTGGTGTGTTACTCAAGAAAAGTCACAAGTGATAACTAAAGCAAAGACCAAACTGCTTTTGCTTCATTTCAGTAGAGACTAATCTGAAACTCTAATCAACATTTATGCACCTGAACTTTGTTGTTTCCGGTACAAAAACAGAATAATATAATAATTATTATTATTAATATAATAAAGCTATGTTTTTTATGAACCAGATAGCAAGTGCAAATCAAAGCTATACACATGAGACATTACTTGTAGATCTGGTCTTAAACCTAATAGCTTATGATGATAATGATATAAATAAGGTTGCAGGTGATTTTACTTCACTTCATCATCACTGGGCTAGATTACCGTTGAGTTGTTCCTCTGCACTTACTTTTGAATAAGTTTTTTTGGTAAGCTTTGCCGAAGACGACACAATCAGCCTGGAAGTCCTTGAAACAGGCCTGGCCTTGGCTTTTGAATCTTGTATAAGACGAGAACCTGTGAGTTGGGACTTGATCCTACTAGAAGTTGTTGATGGTTCATTCATACTACGAGCTCCATGTTTTGTCAATCCACTTCCCGGACCAGTACAAGTTCCTGTGGGTGTTCTTGCAACGCTGCTCCTCCCCTGTTAAACGAAATCATTCACATACATACTGAGATTCACATATGGATTGAGGAAGAGTTTTGCAAATAATGGGTACTTACTCCATCAAAGTAGCCTAGTTTTGGTGATGGCACACGGAGTCCTGTTGGTTTCATCATGGAAGCTGAACTCGCCGTGCCTTCACTCTTATGGTCATCTTGGACAGCAGATATATCTTTGGAGTTTTTGAGAGTCTTTGTATCATCAATGCCAGGGCTGCCTCCAACAGATAGAGGTTTCTTCTTACCTTTAGCCATTTTATTAGGTGTAGAAGCTCGAGGTGAGTTAAAAGACCAGTCAACAGAAGCACTAAGAAAAGATGCATTAGAGGAAAGCCTAGGCTTGTATGTGCTACTGGCTGAGAAGGGTGAAACTCTAGACTGGGCTATAAGTTTAGATGCAGCTCTGGATGTGGATCCGTTGACCAAAGAATGCGAAACTATTCTTAAATTCTGAGCTTTCTTCTGCTTTACTGACTCTAGCGGAGACCTTTTAGAAGCGCTTGACGAAGCACTGATACAGCTCTCAAGTGAAGAGCAAGAAGATGTCAGTTCATTCCTGGAGCCTACTGAAGAAGAACGTAAGGCAGATCTAGAAGGCACTCCAGGTTTTGATACAATGGGTCGAATCCTCCCAGTTAATTTGGGATTCTTTTCTTGTTTAGTTTTGTTAACATCCATCGAAGCTCTTACACTTCTGCTAGTTCCAGTGGATGGCCTGGAAATGGTTGCATTGTGTTCTTTTGCAGCAATAGGCTGTAGAAAATGCATCATAAACAGACAAAACATTTCTTAATAATCAGTTTGCATTCATTTGAATGGTTTACTATGAGGTGAGACGTAAAGTGATCAAAGAAGACAAGAGATTCAGTTTGTGCTGTAACATAACAAGCACATAAAGAGAGAGAGAGTCGTCAGTATACCTGCTTTGTCACCTTCCCTAATCCTTGTGGCCTTTTACGAATAGCATTGGGTTTCATCTGAGAAACAAACACATGTTTCATGAGTGAGTGAGGGAGGGAATAAAAGATCAAATCACAGCCTAAAGGTGTGTATGTTCAGGGACTTACTTTTTCGTGAGAGTCAGGGTCGTCTAGTGTACTTGAAGCTGCAAATTTCAAATGAGAAATGTATATAAGTTTGTCAATTTGAGTTTCACAGAACAAATAAAATTAACAAAAAAATCAGATTAGTAGCCACAAAGACTAGAAATAAGATCTACGTTCAATAAAAGAAGTATTCAGTTATATATAAGCTCTTTTGCCACCAAAACAAGAGAAAAGTAATAAAAAAACAGATACTTCAAAATGCAAATGCTAGTTCCCTTCATGCTAACTCTACCAAGATATAGAAAAAAAAAACTTACTTGGGCTATGTACAACTGCCTCTCTTTCTCCCAGCTCCTTACTCCTATCAGGTGTAGCATCATCAATTGATACAGCAGACCTATGGATTGACGCTCTTACATCCTCAAACAAAACACAATCCTCCTGACTCGTCTCCACAGTGCAGTCACTCTTCAATGTAGAAATAGACTCCGTTGATCTCTTCACATCCTCTTGTATAGTCCCCAAAATCTTCTTCTTTTCACCCACATGATTGCTTTCAATCATATTAGACAGCTCATCAGGTTCCAAAACACCTGAATTTAAAAAAGAAAAACAACTCTCATTAAAACAAAACACACTAATGAACACAAAAAAGCAAAAAAAAGAAAAAAAACTTGCCTGGATTGGTGAAAAAGGCTTTGTCCCAAGCAAGACTCTTTCTCAGGTTATACTTCATCACCTTATCAAGCTCACTAGGCTGCATCACTTCCTCTTCCTCTTCATCATCACAATCACATATATCCCCAAATAAATCAAGTCCTCTGTCTTCCTTATCAGCCTCTAAAACACATTCATCATCAGAGAGTGTATAAGCAATCAAAAGATGTAAAATTTATATAAACCCAAATCTAGAAATAACGACCCAAATCAAAAAGTTCCAAGCTTTTTGCAGATTAAAAAAAAACCTAAAAGAGAGATGGAATCAAATCAAAATTCACCTGTGGAGGGATCAGGGAAGAGGAGGCTATCGTCTTCGTCCATCAGACTAAGCCCAGAGATATCGAGGTCGCTTCTCCAGTCATCGTTGATCTCTCCCATAATCGCAAAAAGGTAATACCTTTGAGAGAGAGATTCAGACGAAGACGAAGAAGGAGACGAAATTTGAAACGAAGCAAACCGGCGGTTTCTTATTTGTTTATTGATTAATTAACTTTTCTGTATTTAGTTTTAAAACGGAAAGTTATAGGAGCGTGTTTGGTTTGGTTTGGTTTAGGTTCTTAACCGAAGTGGGTCTGATGTAACCGTGATCAATCCAGTGATTTGTGGCCGTTAGATCATCATCTAGTGTGTAGTTGTCTTTATTTTTTTGCAAGGAAGGATATGAAGACAAACTGTAACTGAAATAACAATAATCTTCTTTTTTTGGGGTTATTGCTAATTAACAAAACAAATTTAGAAAATTACGGTTTTTTACTACTTTAAGCTTCAATAGATTATGGAATTTTTATACTTTCATCTTTGGTTTTTATTCGGGATTATTTCAAATTTTATTTAAATAGATTATTGTATTGAAATTGTTATGTGTCTTGTTAATTGTTACAGTTTTATTTGCTTTTACAAGTAAGTAGTACTATTCACCACATTTGAGTTACAAAAAAAGAATTCATTATATGAGTATTGTTAAGAACTTTAAGAAAAAAATATATAACTAATTCATATTGAAATTTATAATCGAAAAATATGATGTTTATATGTTTTTTATATAATTATGGCGTCAAAAAGAATCTATAAGTTGCATCAATATTATAAGGCTTGCTTCAGACCAAAAAAAAATATTATAAGGATTGGATGAGTTTGATAGAGCTTACGTGCCTTCCCCCTGTGGGGATCGTTGAAACTCAGCTAGCCCCTTGGATCATTTGGTCCCTCTGGATAGCACGCAACAATCTGATCTTCAATAACAAAATTGTGACAATTGAGGAGATCGTATCTAGAGCAATTTCTACAGCAAAGGAGTGGCAGAATGCACAACTAAGAGAAGAGAAAAAGAAGACCCTACACCGCACACCTGAAGAAGTACCAGCTTGTGACACAGTTCTCCAAACTGATGCGGCATGGAACGAGACAACCGGAACAGCTGGGCTGGGCTGTCACCACTAATGGCTGAAAGCTTAGCAATGAGAGAGGCAATTAGGAAAAGCAAGGAGCTGGGGTTCCGACGATTACGATGTGAATCTGACTCCTCACAACTGATCAAAGCGCTTAATTCACCTTTAGAACCTTTAGAGATTTATGGGATAATCTCAGATATTAGAATTGATAGTAGCTCCTTCGATGCTATTTCTTTCTGTTGGATACCTCGAGAGAGGAATGTTGATGCTGATTTCTTAGCAAAGGCAGCCTTACGCCTTGTAACGACTGATCTGATCAGTTAGACTTTTTATGTTTTAATGAAGTTGAGTTCCAAAAAGAAATGGCTTGCATGACATAATCCACAAAACCAATAAACCAAATATGAAAAACGAATTTCTTGACATCTTCAGAAAAAATCACAAGGAAATGAAAAAGAAATGGAAAAACAATTTATATAGATTGTTGTCACGTACAGTTATACAAAGCAAAAACTCTTCCTTGCAACACAAACAATATAAAGAGATAGGCCTTTGGAACACCATCATACTAGTCCGTGCCCGGCATTGGAACCATCATATATATGCTGAGCATACATCATATACCAAGCTATATGGAAAATTAGTTCATATGTTGACTTTTTTCAGGTATACATGCTAGTGATGCCTTACAAGTTTTTGAGAGCCCTAATAACATAACATATATGTAGAGAGGAAAAGTTACTTGAGAGAGTTTTCATACGGACCTTGTGAGAAAGAACCATGGTGAGCAAGCTGCGAGATGGTAAAACAAACTCTGAGATGTCAGACTCAAGTTTGCGTTTTTGCGTTTTTTTTTTCATTCCGCAACATTTCGTTGATTGGCAAAATTCTTGCGGAATCGCGTTTCATAAGTCATTCCGCCATTCCGCATGGTTACCAATCAATGCCTAAACCAAATCTAACTAAAGCTAAAGAGATTGGACATTTACAATCCAAAGGATGAAAGATTTTTTTGTTTTTAACCTTGGATTGTATTATTAAGCCGTTTAGGAAAAAAATTCTTAATAATGAAAACAAGCAAAAAAAAACATAGAAAACGGATACAGATTTGGAGACATCTTTCTTTGCATACACAGATTTGGAGACATCTTTCTTTGCATTCGCATCTCCACCTTTTACTGAGTCACCTTTTATTTTCAAAAAAATATTATATAATTTAAATTATTTTTAAATATTTTTAAGTGAAATGAAATAAAAATAAAGAAAACATGTACTTGGCTTATAAACCTATGACTAAAAACAAATTTAATATAATTATTTACTACTCGGCTTGTACTCGCTACTTGATTTGTACTTGGCTTTTAAAATTAAATATTCGTTTTGTTCAAGTCGAGTATCAAATCATTTATTCAAATTACTTGCAAATACAAGATAAATACCAAATATTAAAATGAAAACAACTTTTTGATGTCGTTGTCTTGTTACTCGTGACTTATACTTCACTTATTATTTGTTTTTATTTTTGGACAAAGAATCTCTAAATTATAATAAATTATTGTTGTTAATTACAACTCTATCTAAAGAAATAGCCCATTAATTTAAAATGAGCTCGAACTAAACCAAGCCCAATAGACCAATAATACCACAACCTTTTACAGCAACTCGCAATAAACCTATCCTAGATTTCGTAGATTCAAAAGTGTGACGGAGTTTCAGAGCGGATGCACTAGCTAAAGAAGCAAGGAGTAGAGATTATTTATTTTCCCATATAGATCAGACCCGGCCAGACGGAGTTTCTCTTCGGGGAATCGACTCGACTGGTCACCACTTGATTTAGAGTAAATGGATGGCTGACAAAAAAAAAAAAGTGTGACAACGTATGTGGAGCGGAATAGACCGATAGTTCGTAGTCGTAGTAGAGTTTTATTTGCTTAAGTCCTAGAGATATGAAATAAATTATCCAATCATATCATGATATTTTTATAAATGCCGTTGCCCGATTTAAGTTTTAGAGATGAAAAGGGAAAAAGCTATCTCACCGAAACCGGTGTTAATGAAAGACTTTGTTCCTCTGTTTAAGGCTCTGGTTGTAGACTTGTAGTAGTTTTTGTGCAGTTTGTGATGGTTAATTCCTCTGTTTTTTTTTTCTTTTGGCTTTCTATGACCCAATATGTTGTAATGCAAACCTGTATGGTTCTGGTATATCTTTAAAATCAGTCCTCTAAAATTTTAGACTCGTGATTAAGTCAACTAGTTCATTCTCATAGCTGATATACTTATCATAACAGTATAACTATTAACTAGTCTATAAAAGTTATGCATACGTTTTAAAGTTTTGCATTTCCCACCAATCCACGATACGGAGTAATAAATAACAAAAAAAAAAATCTAGGGTTAAGCTCATAAACCTATGACTAAAAACAAGTCCAAGGCTTCAAAATCTACAAGTTGTTGGTTTCAAAGTTTCTGGACGATATCATTTTTCGTCATCTGAAAAAATCAGAACCAGTTTGTTTCCTTTAAATGAGTCTCGACAACACAACAGTACTAAATTACCATATATATTGATGTATCGAAACATTGAATCCATTTTCTCTATAAATTTCCTAAATGAGTAATAATTTATTTATGAATTTAATACAATGACCTAAATCGATTACGTGCATTGATTAGGTTTGTGTGTTTGATGTCGTGTCTGATTTGGACAGCAAGAGGAAAGGGTTTGGTGAAAATGTAAAGTAGGACCCATAAGAGGGTTTGGTGAGACGAGTGGTGTACGATGGATCCTCGCTACTGTGGTTGTTGCCCCTTTTCTCCATTTTTCATTGTTTGTTTGGTGGCCTAATCTTATTCATCCCCTTTATATCATTTCTAAAGTTAAATGATGACACATCCATTACATCTAGGAGAAATCAGTAAAAAAAATAATATAATTCACCAAATAATTCGCTTAACAACTTTTTCATTCTATATTTGTTCCTCTAAAATTCCGCTCCGATCCTCGATGATGATCTATCAAATATTCTCTTTTGTTTCTTCCCATAGTTACAATATCAATCAAACTTTCCTTCATTGATTTTTTTAGTTTGCTTGTAAAGAATGATAATAACCATTTTCATGGCATAAACCACTAGTAAAGCCATAGCAAGGTAGGACGATCAAATAGCCAGAAATGAGATAAATAATTCATGTAATGAATTTATTTTACATACGTGGTTGGTGACAATGAAATCCATTTTGATTTGAGACTGCGTATAAACAGAAAAGTATTTAATTATATAGGCCCGCTATGTTCTATATAGTATATGTTTTTTCTTAGACATTAGCCACATTCTTAAATATATAAACGTTAGTACTATAATGAAACCTATATAGCAAGCAACCGGTTCATTTAAAGACTCCAGCTTAGTTTGTTCAAATTTCCAAGGTTAGCATAAGATTAAAAAATCGATGAGAAAAGCCTGTGATAAAATAATTAACGTTCGGATTTTATGTATATATAGGTTGTACAGATTTAAAGTTTAAGTGATTTCTGAATGTTCAGTATTAGTATTAATTTAATTATGATTTTTTATTTATTTTAAACTAATTGTCGAGAATATTGAAATAGTATGGACGTCACAGAGTGTAAGCAGTCGATCATATAAAGAAAATTGCGTTTCTGTGAAAATTTCACAAAATATCTAATAACACTAGATGAGTCGTGATAGCAACAGCTCTCTTCAAGTGCACCCACACTTTGTTATCCCTTCTCCCCAGCACTTTTGTTTTTACGCTGAAAGGACAAGATAACAAATTAACACGAGTTACATGCATCGAATTGAATTGCAAAGTAAACAGTAGTATTTCTTATAATTAGTTTGTCTTGGGATTTCCAGTTTTGGCTAAGAAATGACATCCTGCTTTAAGAAGTGTTTTGAACTATATATGCTAGATTCTCCTATCAAAATGTGGCAATATGTGAACTAGTGTAAATATATATTGGGAGTGGTAACGAAACTATCAAAGGAAGAAATGTTACTCATAGTAATAAGCATATTTTTCACGTAGTACAAGAAGTGAGAAAGAA